ATCTTTTCCGTCGCGCTGTGATGACGTCACATACGCGCTTTCGTCGACCGCGATTTTGTCCTTTGCGGTTTTGTGGTAGAACCAGTAGAAATAGCTACATCTCAGTTGTCTTATATGCACTTGAAAGGATAGCTAATGAGAAACATGCTGGGGAACATGGTAGAAAGCCAGGCAAATATAAGCAGTGACCTCAATATCATGCCTTCAATAAACAGACGGTTTATACCCACTATTAAAGCTATTTTATGAATATATAAATCCTGTAATGGCAACAATTTTTTAAAAGCATCAATGACCTGCTCTCAAAAAACTTAGTGTCCACTAGCTGAAAAAGGAAGTTAAACCTCAAATATTATTTCCACGCATATAGCAAACGTTATCAATTTAAGAAATATAATTTATTTAATCAACAAAGAAAATATAATTTAATTAGATTATGTAGTATTTAAACAGCCCATCAAATATACAATATGTAATCTTTTCAAAACTAATTAACTTACCAGCTGCCCAACTTTATATATTTTTCCATCCCATTCAATTGCCTCATATGTAGCCCAAGGTTTCTGTTTTCCTTTATAAGCCTGATCAGTACGTGCAGCCATTTCTTTAAACTGAGTAAATTTGATTTGTTTATCATGTGTTTGGTGGCAATTGTTGAGCCATAATGCAAATTCTTTATCAATTTTCATTCTCTGTTCCTGTGGAAAGTTGTACATATATAAAAATATATATATTACATGTATAATCTTTTCAATTATTGAAAGATTATTGTTGAACAAAGCTTACTCTTCTTGGCATTATTCATTATTCATCATTCAGCTTAAATGTAATTGGTTAATAATTTATACCTTTCCCAAAGTACATCTTAAAAACTATATAATTCTAATTCTAATCCTATTTTTGAAGATGCTCAGGACAATAAAGTTAAAGAGGAAGTTACATGTTCATTGTGTCTGATTAGGAATTTTGATTTACATTTTCTCGTATCCATACACGTAGACCTCGACATACGCTAATTTCTTTAGCGACTGTTCAGTTACGGCACTGAAAAAAGTGACTTATGTTTGTTTTTCACACTTGACTATTGCAGCACCCCCATGGTCACATGGTGCTTGGCAACTGACTTATATTTATGATGGTTGCAGCGTCCCAGGGACTCATGATCATCTTTTTCCAATCTTCTGACAAGCAAAGTCAATGGGAAGTCAGATTTATTTTACAACCATGATACTAACTCACTAACTGCAGCAATTAACTTAACAGGTGTGGCAAGAAAGGTCATAAAATGGGGCAAAATTCACTTAATAACTGTCTTGCGTAGAAATAGAAATTTGGGGTTCAATTGTGGTAGTGAGTCAAGGATGACCTGTACTTAGTATTCCAGGGTTCAAAAATCATTACAACCCTCTTTTTGTTACATTCAACTCTTTTATACACATTTATAAAACATCGCTGGATGAGCATTCATCACTCAATATTCTTGAGCAGTAGGTTTAATGTGATCCAATAATAATTTATCGCCTTAATTTTTTTTATGATGTGATATTCACACAAAGGCAGGAAATTAGATAAAGACAACTTTTTAAATTTCACAATGCCATTAATGAAACATCTTTTGAGTTTTGTGGCAAGAATAAAGATAAGTTGACGATGATGATGCCAAGAAGATA